TATTTACATATATAAATTTTTTCTTCAGTTATCAGAATTATAGACTTTTTCAAAAAGGATGTGTTTATTAATTGTTTTCTCTTTTTGATCATATTTGTAAGTTAGCAAGGTGTTTCTTAAATAATTTGAAGTCAGGTTATATTAGTTTTATAAATACTTAACATTTTTAAATTAGCAACATCAAATGAATCTCAGAAAACATACTTTCCCAACCCATTTGCAAGATTCAAATTTATAATTGAATTTTTTGTTATATGCTTGATTTTTATCTCTAAGAAATTGAAAAGGACAACATTCATTTAGAAAATGCTGTAGCTGATGGATAGACAGTTAGTTTTGAACATGATTTTGAAGTATGTATAAAAGTTAAAATTTTTCTTGGCTTAAAAATAATTTGTTCTTAAAAATTGACGAGCATAGTAACTTAGTAGCTTATTTGTCTTTATTGTTATTCTTCATACCCCATATCTGTTTGATACAGGCCTTTTGCCTCTGAAACGTTTGCCACACCTGTCAACTCTTAACCAATATGATGCAATTAAATAATTTTACAATTTAACCCATTTCCAACTGTACTGCATTCAAACATACATATGAATATATACATGTATATGGGCATACACATGTGCATATGCATGTATGCACATGTTTGCATGTATATGTGTGTATATAGTATATACCATGTGTGTTTATATGTAGAGTATTAGTATTATGTGTGTGCATGTGTATATATGTATGTATACAGAACATGTATAGTGTGTATATGCATGTGTGTGTTTTTAGAGTATAGTGTGTGTATGTATGTATATAGAAGATGTGTATGTATAGTGTGCACATGTGTATATGTATGTATATAGAGCATATAGAGTGTATGTTCATGTGAGTATGTAGCATATGTATAGTGTGTATTCACATGTGTGTATGTATGTATATAGAGCATATATATATAGTGTGTGTGTATAGAGGATGTATAGAGAGTGTGCATGTGTGTATATGTAGTATATGTATAGTGTGTGCATGTGTGTATGTATATTGATAGCTTATATGTTTTGTGCATGCAGAGTATATATATTGTGTGTGTGCATATAGAGTACATACATAGTTTATATATTTATATGCACAGACACACTCTCAGCACAAAATTGGATATTATCATTACTAAGAGCTCTTAGTGTACATGGTTCTACATAGTGTGATTCCTTTTTAAAGAAAAAAATGAGTACACAGATTTATAATTCAGTGCCATTGAAATCAATAAGCTATAAAAAACTTTCTTAGCCACAGTGAGGACTTTGTCTATTTTAAATTATGATTTGTATGAGTATTCTTTGAAGGAACTTTGCTCTAACATTTCCAAGGTGTTGTTATCTTTTGTAGGACTATGAAGAGGACTTTGAGGTTTGTGATGGAGAGGATGACGATAGTGCTAATGAGCTAGAACCAAAAGAAAAAATAGAACTTCCTCCAGCCAGAAAAAAGGAGAGACAAGAAATTCAAAAAGCCATTAATGCAGAAAATGAGAGGATTAGAGAGTTGTCATTCAAGCTGTTTCAGAAGCAGGGTCTGATGGCAGGTGCAAGGGAATCCGGTATGCAAATCAGTATGGTGTTGTGTCCATGTGCCCAGACGGCACCAAGACCCCGCAGACGTGTGTCACAGGCGGGATCACTCTAGTCAGGTGGCGGATGTGTAAGCATTTCATGCCCCCATGATGACACCATGCTAGGCACTCAGCAGACACTGATGACATGTGTGTTAGGGTCACTCAGAGATGAAGTGCAGCCAGCCTTCCTGCGGTGCCTGTGGCCAGGGCAGCTGTGAGCACTGTCGCCAGCCTGTGCAGCAGTGTGTCCTTGTGTCGTCAGCCGGTGCCATCTGCCCCACATGCTCTTGTTCTTTGATGCCACTGTCCTTAAGGTTCCCTCCTTGTCCACACGGGAAAGTGGCTCAGAAGTGCCAGCAGAGGGAGCCTTGTGGTGCAGCCATGGCCAAGGACCAGAAAAGACGGCCCCTCTGGCCTGTTCTCAGGAGCACTTCTGAGTGAGCCTTCTCTCTCAGGGATTTTTTTTTAATGAAATTAGAAATGTATTTTGCTCAGAAATTAATGGCATCTGGTTATGTTAAAATTACTTGCAGGAATTAGTAGTAAATATTTTAAAATCAGTTAAAGGAAAACTATGACATTCTTAGAAAAAATTATCACTAACAGTAGCACAGAAGGTCAAGTAGGACAACATTGAAAATATTGGGTAACATACAAGTTTAAATTATTAGTAGAATAATTAGTCACCAGTACAGTTAGTGTGATTAGTAATCAATGTGATGTGATAATCCAAATGAAGGTCGGGCAGAGGGATTATTGGCTACTGCAGCAGAGGTTGGAACAGCTGGTGAGGGTGGATGTGTAGACAAGTGTCTAGACTTGTAGCTAAAAGATTCCCTTTCCTGATGGTGACATCCAGCAAGTGCTGCTCCCACGCCCTTCAGTCGTGACGGTGTGTGCAGGGAGGTTTCGGGCAACATTCCCAGCCCCGCCATGAAGTTGCTGAGAAGCGTACATGATTGGATTCCACATTCCTAGGTTCCTAGCCAAGCTCTGAATAACCTTTTCTTCTTGTTCATGTCCTGCCATTTGCTGGGCCTTGTGTCCTTGAAGAGCGTGAATTAACAAGATGAGAATCCCACCTCCCTGCACAGTATAAGGCACTGATTTTTTTAAGAGGGCCAGGGCTGTGCACTCGCTGCTGAGTGTGAGTGTGGAGCCAGCTCGGGTGCCACCTGCCATGGGAGGCAGTGGGGTGGTGCTGGAGGGTGCTGGTTCTGGTCCCTTATCTACAGATAGGGGGAGGGTCTTCAGGGCTGTGACCATGGGGCATGCAGGGTCAGGCGCACACTGAGCATGATGTGTTAACTGCTAGTTTGTTCACCGCCATGGCCTAGTAGGTGATAGAGTGCTCCTTGTCTACACCCTGTGTAGCCCACACCCTGCAACCCTCTGTGGTGGTTGGCCTGTTGGTTAAAGCTGCACCAGGAGGATAGAGTGCAACTTCTCCCTCACCCAACTCACCCCCTGCCCACGACAAAGTCTTTGGAAGAACCCATGCCTGCTCTCCTGTTTTCTGTCTGTGACGGAAACGACTGATTCAGTACAAACTCACATCTGCTTCTGTTTTTCAGCTATTTTGCATATTCATGTCCTGATGCCCTTACTAGAAGGTACATTTTTTGTAAGGGCTGGATGGGGAGACTGGGGTGGGAATTCTTAAATATTTCTAAAACTCTTAATCATGTGATTCACTTACACAGTAAATTTGGTTTTGTTGCCTCAAAGTTTTGGATGAAATTGGCAGAAGCAGGCCTGTTATGTGCTCGTGGCTGTCTAGTTGTGTGCAAAGGCCTTACTGAGATTATCATACATGCTTCTAATTGTTTTACTCTTGATTTGTTTTGATTGTTGAAAGAAATGTTTCAGTTTCCCAAAAAGCCTTTTATCTGTACAGATGCAAACAGTTCCCCTTCCAGAGCCCCTGTTTGTGGAATTTTTGTGGATTTTGCAACAGCCTTGCACAGTCAGAAGAGTCAGACTCAGGCCCTGAAGCAAAAATAGGTATATTGGGAAATTTGTGTAAAGCACCGTGGTGTTTTAATGTGCTTTTCTTCAATGTGGTTTAAAAACCAGGGCTTTTCACTCATTTGTGACTGGCTGTTGAGATGCACAGGCGCTTTACCTTGCGCTGTGTTCCTCTGGGCTGGGAAGCTGGGTGGGGGCTGTGCTCCAACCGACGTGCCCCTGGGAGGCGCCGTGCACTCACCACACCCAGAGCTGAGGCTGGACCCTGCAGGCATCCCCGTGTGTCGCTCTGCCAGGCTCAGCTCCAGCCACCCTCAGGTCACCCACAGCCGAGCACTGCTGCATGATTCTCAGACGAGGGGCTGGGGAGGACGAGTGGCTGCGAGCATTCCCGGGTCGTGCACCGTGTGCTCGCCCTGCCTGTGCCGGGCGCCCTGCCTCCCATGGACCGCGGGCCTCCTGTGGTCCTTCCACCCTGGTGTCTAGGTGAGGGAGGCGGGCTCAGGCCAGCCTCTGGGGAACGGCGGAGCTGATTTCTGAACCCAGGGCCACCAGGCATCCGAGCTGATAATTAATTACTCTAAATTTGGAAATGGAAAATTTTAGAAATTTGTAAGTCAGAGGACATGGTCTTAAGTCAAGGGTCCACCATATACATATTTAATCCAAGTAGTATTTAGGAGTAAATATGAAAATTAAACATTCATTTTTGAAGAGGGTTTAAAAATCCATCATACCGTCTAGCTCACTACTTGGCATTAGTAAGTACTCAGCAAGTTTTGCCAAATGAACAAATAAATCATTAATAATAAGAATATGAGGTTTTATAGTGTTTTCATTATATTTTGGGCCTCCTCTTCCTGCCTGTATGGCTACATATTTTTTAACCTTATTCAAGTTTTAGAAACTACATACTGTTTACCTGGAAACAATCAGAATTTACACTGTGAATTCCTCAGGCAGATGTAAATACGACATGAAATGATATTTTAAAAATCAAGAATAAGTTAGCCACTAAATTCCATGTAGAGCTTGGCAGGGGGTTCTGGGGAGTAAGGGGGCCCCTCGTGGGCCTGGGTAGTGTGGAGTTCTCTGGTTCTGGGCCTCAGCACCTCGGACAGTCACTGTGTGAGGACCTGTGATGTGGAGTCTCTGCATGAGTCACTTCAGGTCAGAAATCCCAGTGACGATGGAAGACTGGAGGCAGGGGGCGGGGAAGATGGTGATGGTGGGCAGAGAGAAAGGCGGCAGCAGGGAAGGTAGTGGTGAAGACCCTGAGGGGTGGAGAAGGGAGGAGTGGCAAGCCAAGTAATGGGGCCCCCCTGGTACTGGGGGCCATTTCTCCCCTCGTTCAGCCATGTCGATTGAGCATTGACAGTGTGGAAGTCACAGTAAGTGAAAGAAATAAAGCTCCCTGGCCTACAGAGCTGTGTGGGGCTGGGTGAGGGTGACAGGGAAAGCCAGACTGACCCCAGGGTGCCAGTGTCAGGGCGTCGATGGAGGCCGTCACATGGCATGCAGGGAATCGCTTTCCCTGAGAATGGCACACACAGCAACTCCAGTCTGTGTTAACCTCAGGGGCACTGAATTAGGATAACTAATTGTTTGGCTTGTGTTTACTCACATCATTGGTCCATGTATGGCCATCTTATCTTTATTTGATACCTCAGGCTCACCTGACGAAGGTGGGCCTTGGCAGTCATGGACGTCTATTCACAATGCCTTACCTTCTCCCCAGATGTCCCTTTGTATATCTTCAGTTTAACAGCTTCTTGTTTTTGATTTGCTTTGAAGGACGCACAGTCTGAAACTGCTTCGGCTCATTGACTTAGACTTCTCTGTCACTTTCTCTCTCTTGGACTTGCTGCCAGTAAACGAATATAACATGTACATCAGAAACTTTGGGAAAAAGAATACTGAGCAGTCAGTACGAGGTGTGCTGAGTAAGTGACAGAAAAGCAAACGAAGTACAATAAGGTGAACTCATGCAATCTGTCATCCTGTGCAGGACTCCTGGGGCTCGGGAGTGGCGCAGAGGGTGTCACCTTGGGAAAGGGTCCCCTTCCTCACTGGTGCTTGTTAGCCGAGAGAGGCAACCCGGTGTCCACAGGCACCCCGCCTGTCTGTTCCTTGGTGTCCATGGCCTGTGCTCCAGGTGAGTCGTTCCCTAGTGACCTTCACTGAATTCTCCTAGTCCAGAGTTGCTCTGATCCATCCCCCAGAATTTTGTGCTTCTCTGTGGTATTTCCAGTCACTGATTGGGTGGTGGTCCACCTTCCAATCAGGCTGTGAAAGTTTGAAGTGAGAGTTCCTCCCTCACCTCCTCCTCATGCTCCTGATAGTGCCACCAACCAGCTTGCTCTCTGGGCACACTCGGTGGGAAGGTCACAGGATGAAAAAGCCAACAGACGAACCCTTGTTTTGCAGCCGGCTCACTCTGACCTTGAGTAGATGGTGTGACTTCTTTGCTTGTTTCCTCATTTCAAAGCTATTAGTAACAAAACTCTTTATTGAAGTATCTTCCTTTTTGAAATAAAATTGCAACTGGTTTTGCAAAGCCAGAATGTTCAAGCGAATAGGATGAAGGCAGACAGGGTGGCGGGATTTTCAAACCAAAGCTAAATCGCTTGGTGTGCCACTTTGAAAGCACCTTAAAAACAAGAACTGTTCACATCGACATCTGTGGCACAGGCCGTGTTCCCGTGACTGTCACTCATGCCACAGCATGTCCACTTGGCAGAGGCCTGAGGCTGTGCTGCCAACTTTAAAGTCAAGATCATTTTCTTTTCCGTGATGAGAGATGGCTCTGGCGGTGTGACCCACTGCTAAGTCCAGAGCACCTTTGTTTTCAAGGCGTATGTTCAGTGTAATGAAGATAACGTTGAGAGACATTCAGACCAAAGAGGTCGAGGCCTGGGAGGTGTGAACCCAGCACCCAGGAGAAGGTGCTGCCGTTTCTGGGGGTAAACAGCTCTGTGCTCTGGGCCGATGGGAGTGGAGTGTCTGGTGGTTTCTGGGGTCACCTTTCTTGCTCTTCCTTAGATCTTTCACTGGGGGTGGTTGTCAGCATGTGGCATGGAGGAGCGAACCCGCTTCTGCAAGCTGCTGACTTGGGTGCTGCACTGGAGGCTCGGCTGGGCCCTGAGCAGGGTTCATGGCACTTTCATCCCCGACGTGAAGGGCACCCCGATGCCCGGTGGGCTAGCACAGATGGGCTGTGCTGCTCTGCTTCCACCCTGGGGGCAGGCTGTTCTGCTCAGTAGAGTTTTCATATTTAAGGACCAAATGTTTCATACCTAAGTGTCCAGACATGTTCATGGTACAGGCACAAGACCCACAGCACACATGTTCGACATTGGGTCCCTGGAGCTGCATGGGTGCTAGTGGGTGGTCTGCTCTGGGGGTACATGTGGGCAGGGGTCCCCTTGCTCCCCTTCCTCACAGAGGCTCACTCTGTGAGAACAGCATACCTCATGCTTGCATAACAATTGAATTGGCACCTCTAACTATTGTCCTCAGTGTTTCAGGGAAATTCTGTGTAGAGACTTTCTATAAAACAAGACTCAATTGTTTTTGAAAAAATCACTAGCAGATCTCGGGAATAAGTGTAAACTTCTCTGACTTTTCCTTCCAGGGCCCGTTTGTAACGCCTCTTTGTAACTCAAAGGCATGTGCGGCGGTCTCCTTTAGGGTCATATTGTTTTTCTAGGGGCTGAGGATGGCGCCATCTCTGGCACTGTGGCTGAACCCAAGGTCCACACACCAAGGCTGTCCAGCTTCCTCTGGGCAGCTTGCCAGGTACACCACACCCTCTGCATCTCCACAGTCATGAAGCCCTGTGTGCAGGTGACCCGCTGACGCATGTCACAGCAGCTGCCTGTGGACTTGGGTCTGTGGCTTCATGCCAGCTGCACATGTGTCAAAATAAATGCAGGCTGAAAAGCAGGTGTATTAAGTTGGCAAGGCATGTACACCTCTAGGGTATTTGATACCCATGTCTTTTAAACTGATTATAGAAATTTTCAAAATGCATGCAAAGGGAACAGCAGGCTGCACCCATGGGCTTCAGCAGCTACTGACTCAAAGCCAACCTGTCTCATCCGAGCCCCAACTCCCCCACACCCTCAGTTACTCAGAACAAGTTGTGGTCACCACACCATCCTCTCCATGGCTACCTCAGCCCTACTGGTGTTTCTTAACATCACCAGGTCTCCTCAGTTGACTGTATGTTTTTCATGTTGGCTCAGAATTTAAATAAAAAAGCTACAGTAAGTACAGTAAATGTGGAATGAGCCCGTTTCTGTCTATTCTGGACACCCGGTGCTTACACCCTCTCTGTACCATGTTAGAGAGTCTGTGCTTCACGAAATGCGATCATGTAATTTGAAATCCAGCCAGCTTCTCTTTCACCATAAGTTCAGGGGGCACGAAGAGGAGAGCCTTTGGGTCAGGGTCGGGAGGAGGAGAGCTGTCTGCGGTGGGAGTGGAGTGTGGACACAGAGCCAGGTTGGGGCTGACTTGGACCGCAAGGCTCTCCGCTAGCTTCTGCAGCCCATCCTCCACACCCGTCCCATCAGGACCCAGATGACAGCACCCCCACCAAGTCTGCCCCTGCCCATCAGCATCCTACACCTGTTAGAGCAGTTACAGAGACCCTGTTCATCCTGGGTCCCCACAGTATGGAGTGTGCACAATATTGTCTACACCCTTACTCGTTCAGGAGAGCTGGGTGGCAGCCGTTTTGCTCTTCCTCTGTATTTGCTAGGAAAACACCTTCTGATGGACACTCTGGCTGTCCCATGGAGTTCCCACTGGTGGAGGTTTACCTGTGTCTGCCCCTGTGCAAGAACAATAAGAGTGCATTCAGTTATTTTTATGATGTCTTGGAGTTAAGCAGTTACTTTCAGACATGGGGAAGGTGAATAGGTAATTTGTGTGTGTGTTTTCTTGTAAAAGTATGCGTAAGTGTGTTTATTAAGGACACGATTGTCTTTGAAAGGTGATTGCAGTTCTGCTGGGAGAAGACCATGTGGTGGCCAAGCCCCGTTGGAGCCCCAGGGCGCAGGGCAGTGTGCTGCCTGTCAGCAACAGTGCCTTGCCGCTGGACACCAGCCTGCCATTCCTCCAAAGGAGCTGGCCCAGTGCATCTTGAATTCACCACTAGACGTTCATGTGGGAAGCATGATCTTTAATATGACATCCCATGTTAATGAGGCGGGTTTATTTAATGCGGAATGGAGATCCTACCTCTGTGGGGCTCTGGGGTGCAGGATGAGGTTTCCTTAGTGTGTCTGTTAGAATCATGAACTCTCATGAGATAATGAGCAGAGGGACACAGGAACTTAGGTGAATGGACCCTGAGGTTTTGTGTGTTCTAAATCCTTTTTTCAGGCCTGTTCAGTTTCTTTATTTCTTGGAATAGGGAAATGTGAGAGTGGCTATGAGAGTGATGTTCCTACCTGAGCCACAGTGTGACAGGCTCGGCAACGCTCTGTGGCTCCTCCCTCAGATTTCACCCTGGTCACAGAACAGGACCGCTCACCCCGGGAAGCCCACAGCACCAAACAGAGGTATAGCTGCAGGTCACCATTTGTTAGTTTAAACGAACATCATTTGCATGACCATATTTAAATTTTTTAAGCTGGTCACCAATTTGCCTTTTAAAAAAGTAGCTGGTGAGGCAGTCCTGGGGTCCTGTCTGGTCTGTGGAGGGAGGCACACGGTGAACCTGCCCTCCGCCAGCTGTTCCTGGGCCTGTGGAAGCCAAGGCACCAGTGCGACCTAGGGTTTGCTCTGTCCTGCCTACTGCTCAGAGGTCGTTAGATTCATGTATGTTCCTCTGCATTTGACAGTGACAAAAATGGTATCATTAACTTAAAAAAACCTCATGTTCTTTGTATTTTTGTTTTTAAAAGATAAGAGTTATCCTACTAGAAAAATAGTCAATCATTGTATCTGTAGCGTTCAAAACATGGACAGTCACACTCCTACTGCCCTCCTCACGCCAAGACACGGGGAGTAATAGAGTGCTTTTGTGGGAGCTGGTGTGTGCCCATGGCTGTGTGGGCTGCAGGGAGTGGGGGGATGCCCTGCACATGTGTTCTCACATGCTCGGCCCTTGTGCAGTAGGTCTGAGTTCTGGAAGTGAAGAGTGGAGGTTTTCTTACTCGTTTTTATGTTCTAGTGAAATGAATTTGAGGAAATAGAAGGAAAATGAGGTTGGGATGACAGGTGTCTGAGAGTGAGCAGCTCATCTCCCCTGTGGCCTGGGCTTGCCACACACACCCGGCTCCATTTCAGGAGGACCACACGCCAGCCTCCATGGGCCTCCTCCACAACATCACCACTTCCAGGATGCACACAGCCGGGCACACCCCTGAGGCAGCCTGCTCGTGCTCCTTCATTCATTAGTATGATGACGACTCAGTGAGTGTCCACAGCATCCCAGGCACTGCTGGGATTCAGCTGTGGGCAGACAGACAGACAAATCCTGCCCTCCTGGTGGATCAAATTGGCTAAAAACTACTGAACAAGTGAAATGTCAGAGGGGAGTGTTCTAAAGAGAAAAACAAAGTGGGCAGTTGTTGCCACTCCTGATGGAGAAGGCCTCACTGCAGGAAGACCAACGGGACCGGAGGGATCCTGGCCGGGTGCATAGCGGTAACTCCAGAGCACATTTGGGCAGCCTGGTCTAGCAGAGTGGCTAGTAGGTGAGGGAGAAGGCATGTCATCCAGATTTGAAGGGCTGCTTTGCTGCAAAACCATGTGGCTGACTCGGACAGTGTTCAGGCAAAGCTGTGGCCATTTTCAAAACCCACACTTTGTGTGTGTGCGGTTGTGAAAAGACCATGTTTGCTGCTTCAGTAAGCTGAGATTTACTTGAGTGTTCTCAAGTGTGTTAATTTAACATGGATTCTGGCAGATCACTACAATGCAGAAATATCATTCTCCCTTTATTCCTAGATTGAGAAGTGTCTCTTCTGCATGCCTCTCAGGTGCAGAGACAGATAGTGGTGTCTGTCCATGGTCAGCCTGGGAAGGCCTTCAACCCTGCGCTGGATGGCAGATATGTGCTCTGAGTGTGGGATATCTGGTAGCCTTTGGGGCCTTAGAAGGTCCTGATATGAGTCAGAGGTATGTCTCCAGGAGTCACAGCCTTAGCGAAAGGAAGGGCGTGCAGCACGAGGGCCAGTGCAGGGGCATGCACCGTGAGCCAAGAGGGGACAGTGACGCAGAACAGGAACTTAGCAGGCACACTCTCAGCTATGAGCAGGTGTGACAAGACATGTGTCTGTGTCTGTTTCATCTCTACAAATTCTTAGCTCAAAGGACCCATTCAGACTGAGGAAATCCAGGGTCATTGCAGCCTTGTGGGTCCATTGGGAACCAGTGCCATGTGACTTCAGGTCCCACTGGGCGTGGCTGTGGGAATATGCCTTTTGGCTCGCACCATGTGGGTCACGGACATTTTAGAGGCTTCTTAGTATGCTTGGGATTTCCAGTTTTCGGTCCTGTGCACTGCAGGCCCTGGTTAATGAGGCCAGTGGGGCTGGCGGGACAGCTGTCCCCTCCATGTGCTTTCTTTGGGGTTGGGAAAATGCACGCTGTGATTTTTCAATTCGTGTGTGCCTTGACATCAGAATCATTAATTCTCCACAACTGTTGGGTCATGACTTTCAGGTGTCAGTTTTTGGGATTTGAAAATAGTAACTTTTTGCAATAGCAGATGTAAATAAAATGACAAAGAAATGCTTTTCTGTTCTGGTCTCGGCTAGTTGAGGTAATGGGGGGTGTGGCACACCGAGCACCAGGCTGTTTGCAAAGCACCTCAGTATGCTTCCTGCTTGCTGAGTCCCACAGCACCGGTTGGGAGGGTCCCAGGGGCCCAAGTGACACAGGGAGGCCGGAGCCAGTGTTCCCATCTCGAGCTTGCTATGTGCCTTCCTAGGTCACATGCTGTTGCTTTAGCCCTTTTAAGGCCTTTTTGCTGTTTGCTGGAACAGCCCGTGGCTCAGTGGTCGTGTGGGACTAAGGGAAGACTCCCAGATACATTGTTATGTGAAGCTGAGCGACTGCTTCTGGACATTCAGGATGCCGACATTCTCCGCCCTTCAGTGTCCTCCAGGAAAGCCGCGGCAGGTTTGAGGAGCATCTGAAATTTCTTTACATTTTTTGTTCAGATTACCCCAGGGGATGGGCTCTGACCTCCGAGGAAAAAAGAGACATTTGATAAATAGAAAAACAAAGATCCATCTGGGTCATGAGTGGCAGTGGCCACCCGCAGCTGCAATGTTCCTAATTCAGTGCAAGGCTTCCACACCCTCGACGGATGACTCGGTCTATGCCAGCTGAAGGCCGGCTGCCATATGCTCCCTCTGTGTTCCACAGACACTGTCCAGTGATGCCAGTCCCGGCCTGTATCCCAGCCACTCGTACCCACATCCTGGTCGCTCTGACGTGGGGGTGGGGCCTGCGCTCAGACCCTGGCGCCCTCACTGTCTGTCTCTGTGTTCCCACAATGCCCCCACCCCACCCACACTTGGTTCTGTGTCTCCCATTTCCACCTACACTGACAGTTTTCTCTCTATATAGTTTTACCTTTTCCAGTTGTGCAATAAACAGAATCACACAGAGCACAGACCTTTGAGCCTGGCTTCTCCCACATCGTGTGTTTGCCACCTGGTGTGCTGTGCATGTCAGTGGCCCCCCTCCCGGCTGGGCAGTGCCCACCGTGTGTACTGCATTTGCCCACCCTCTGGTCCAGTCCTGGTGGCTGGTGCCCATGAATGGTGCCTGCAGGAGGGCCTGCGTCCTCACTGGCAGCACCGTGTGCTCTGACCCCTAGATGGGACCCTCACTCCAGCCAGCCACTGCAGCGCTCTTCAGGCCACGGAGCCCATCTCCACAGCCGCCCTTAAGAAGCAGAGTTTGGTGCTCTCACCCGTTTCCACTCAGGAGGGTACTTGGCCCTCCAGTTCCGCAAAGCCCCCAGTCAGCAGCTAGGACGTGCCATCATTGTTCATGAGCCACTTCTTGTCTCTGTTTCTGTTAGAAATGTCAGGGTTGTCGTTCCACATCACCTCCTTGGATGAAAGCGGGGTTTTCAACATGTGGGTGAGTATGGCTTGCCCGGGCACCTTATGCACAGGCTCTCCACCTGCTGGCCTGAGTCGTGTGAGGTGCGGTGAGCACCTGCTGTCTGCGGGGAGACCACAGCATGGCTGGATTGCCAGGAAGCCTCCCGGAGCTCCCAGAGGTTCGTTCGGCTGGATGACAGGGCCAGGAGGCGGCTGGAGGGTATGCTGAGGCGCTGGCCCGGACCAGCCACCCAGAGAAGGGAAACGGGCGTGGTCGGGAGGAAGAGTCACGGCCTCTGAGCTGCTAGTGCCGAAGTGAACGTCCTTCCTATGGGGCAGTTACAGCTGGCACCTGACGCAGCGAGCCGTCTGCATGAGCCCGGGCTGTGCTCAGATCGTCTGGTATTTGCAGTATATTAATACTCATTTCCAATATTCTGTTCTCAGGTGGTGCTTGAATTATCGAAGCCAGATATTGCAGGTTCAATAAGTGATTTAGGTAACTATTAAGTTGAAAATATTAATTTTAGTCAGAGTTTCCTAAAATGAATGGAGATTAAAGATACAAATAACCACTTTAAAAAGTAATTAGCTGTATGAGAAATAAAGTTATGTACGACCTTATCTACATGGAGCAGGAGCCCAGAGTGAGTCAGTGACGTGCCGCTGATGGGATGATTTAGTCAGGGGCAGGGAGGGCTCTTCACGCTGTGATTTCTGCTCTGTGGGGTGCATGTAAGCATAGTGCTAGCCCCTTGCCTTTCCCGCGGGCTCTCCAGGGCCCAGAACCCCACCCTCGTGTGTGTGCACACTTTGGAGTCTGGGTCCCTGGGGGAGATGCATCTGCTCCCTGCCCTTTGCTTTTGGCATGTTGCCACCTTTGTGGTGACTCTGGAAGGGGTCTGAGACTGGTGCGGGCAGCCCCGTGTCAGGGCAGATGTGACGCGGTCCTCTGCACGGGCCTGCTGCTCTCATGCCTCATGGACTTCCCCAGTCTGTGCTGTTGTGTGGTCTAGGGCCTCTGACTTCCTGACACCTCACCAGCCCTGACCACTCACTGTCCCATGACAAGCCCTTTTCCTCCTGAATTGTTGGCTGTGCCCTGGGAAGATCCAGCAAAAATCTTTTTTTTTGTTCCTGACTTCTCGAAATCAGAGAAGCGTCTTTATTCAGCGGAGCTTGTGCTTCACCTTCCACTGAGGCATTGCTGGGACCTGACTTGGGCTCTGATAATGCCAAGGCCGAATCATCTCACTGGTCTCACTGGTAAATTTATTGAGGTTGAGTAAGTGTTTTTCTCAGTGTCCGCTTCATAGAGCATCCTCTGCTTATGATGAGACCTTTGTGCTGCGTGTGTCTGTGGGAGGCGGTAGCAGGGGGGCCCCAGGTGCTCTGCCCTTCCTTGGTGTGGACTGCGGGCCATACTCCCAGGCAGGCTTGGAGCTGAGCCACCTCCCCAGGCCTGTGCCCGGCTCCCAGGGGGGTCACAGCCTGGAGGAGGGCACAGCCTGAGCTGCCCGTGCTGTCCACTTGTGCCATGACCCGGCACCTTTTCAGAACTATGGTTGGTAATAAGGTGGTAGAGTGTCTGTTGCAGTTCACAGTCTGCCTGTGCAGATGAAATTCTTTTGCATGAAAATGCTTTGTAGTGTATGTGGGAAGTCATGTGAAGGATGCTGTAGAGCAATGTGTTTCACTGTTAAATGTTGCTCTATGAAAATTCCCAAACACTGACCATGTCTCCACTTTGCTTTTGGGAAAAGAGAGAATGACAATCATACCAGCAAGCAGTGTGGAAAAGCTCTGGGCATCAAATGCCTACAGGAGAGGCTGGGTGGTTCCAAGCTGTGTCTCATGAATGTCGGATCAGCATCCCACTGGAGGACTCCTCATGGTCAGAGCCAGCCAGCTGCTGTCTGTCCTCTGAACTGTTGGTCCCTCCCTGGCTGCCAGGGGGCCACAGTGAGTGGGTGCTGGGGCTGTGCTGTGAGATGGTGATCTCATGGGGAGGGTGGTGTGCCAACCATAGCCATTGCTGATGTCATTGCTGGATCAGAAGTGCTTGTTGGGCCGAGTGCCAGGGCAAGGAGGCCATCCCAGGGTGGGAAGGGTAGCCTTTGGGGGAGACTTTGAGCCCTGGGGTTCCTCCAGTGAGTGGAAAGTGGGGGTGTTGCCAAATAGGAACAGCAACATTGCACATTTGCATCAGTTATAACTGACAGGTAGCAAGATTCAGAACTGAGTCTGTGATACATGATTATAGCACCCTTTCCAACTGGAAGCTGAATTTATTTACATACTTTTAATCCAACTATTCCAAGGTTCTAGGTAGTACCTTTCCCAGGATTTGGGTTTCAGTATATTTAAATTTCCAGTGACCCCCTTGCAGTAGTTCCAACAAAAGAGGACAATGTTGGGACTAGACAAAGGTGGCAAGGCCAGGGGATGGCCGAGGTGTGGCATGGCACTTTGGGATGTTCCAGGAAGGAATTGCAGCTCTGTGGCTGTGACAAGGCGGGCAGTGGTGGGCTGAGGAGTCAGAGCCTCTGCATGCGTCTGCAGGAGAGCGGGCAGGCGTTGGGGCCAGTGTGCTGTTGATGTGCTCAGGACCACTAGTGGGCGCTGACGGCAGAGTGTCTGCCGGGCACTTGGCGTTTTGTCAAATGCTGACTTTTTTGCTCAGTGTGCTGCCCTTCTTTTATAAATCTAAACTTGTCGGGACTTCTTGACCCAGATTGCACCAGTCCTTGTCCTATAAGGCCCTGAACTGAAAATTCTTTATTCCCATCCTACAGCAAATACAAAACCTCTCCTGCTTGGGGGAGGGAATGATCTTTATTCATTTACATTTTGATATTATTTTCTAACACAGACAATTAAGCAGTGAAAAGTGATTCCAGGCAACTATAATTGGATTTGGGTTCAACTTGTGTTGGGGAAGGGAGGCATTTATTTCTGGTTTCTGCAGCAGTCACTGCAGGTGGGCTCCCTGGCATCAGGGGAATAAAGTTTGGTGGAAGTTCTGTACAAATAAAGTTTGTAAGGTGATCCCTTGGGATCAATGCTGGGAAAGGGGAAGTGTTCTCATGGAGGGAGGTGACATTGGGCCACTGCATGCACAGCAGACGCATGGTCGGAACTGCAAGAGGTGCTCCAGCTTCTTCACCTGTGCTTTTTGCTGGCTTATCTGCTTGTTAGTTCAGTATCAATGGGTCCAATGCCACGTACAGAGCTACATTTTTTTCTTTGATTAAAGTATTTTGTGTCTTATAAATTGGTACTATTTGATTATTTTACATCTAGTTTTAAAACAACCTTGAAGTTGAACTTAGATGAGTTTCTGGAACCAGAAATGTTAATATGAAAGTATTATTCAGAAATTTAGAGTTCTACTTTTATTCATATGACTTTATATGTCATAAAAATTCTTATTAAATGTACAAATATAATTTATATGTTCCTTGGTAATTTATTTCCTGAAGATATCTTTTTTTGACAGTTACTGCAGTGAGGGGTTATCAGCATGTGATTTATTCCTGAAGTAACATTGGTTAATAGCCTGATTCCTCATCATCAGACAAAACTATGGGTGTGTCAGTGAACTTGTACATGCTTTGAAATTGTGAATCACCTTCAGTGGATTTAAATATAATTATGATGGGGAATCAGTCATGTTTAAAAACTCACACAGTAAGTAGACTGCAGAGCTGGGCACAGGTGGTCTCTGGGCCAGTGGCAGACGCCTGACTCCCTCATCGGGTTTCCGTAAGAACTCTGTTCTTACCTCTGCTGTGGCCCTTACCACTTCATGAGATGCATTGCATTTAATTTTTAACCAAAATGTCCTGTAGTGTACTTGCCCTCTTGGAAGGAAGGTGTCTGATATAGCTAAAGTCAGGTTTCCTCCGAAACCCCCAGCACTGCCTCCCTTAGACCTATGCGCGGTCATCTGGCCTTGCTGTGAGCACTCTGTGTGCCAGGCTTTGTGGTGCCAGAGCCTGGCATTCTTTCCCTTTAGACTCTGGTGAGGATGCAGATATGTGAAGACAGCAGTCACTGCAGGTGGGCTCCCTGGCATCAGGGGAATGAAATTTGGTGGAAGTTCTATGCAAATAAAGTTTGTAAAGCCATCCCTTGGGATCAATGCTGGAAAAGGGGGAGTGGCCATACCTGGATGAGGTGAGCTGTGAAGCCAGCCCCACAGCTGCTGCCGGGCCCCAGGGGCACTGAGCCGGGCAGCTTTTCAGAGTGGACCTTGCCAGCCTTTCTGCCCTCTGTCCAGTCAGTCACTGGACATGGGTATCCCTGGAGGTCTCGTGATCTTAAGTGAAGCTCCCTGGAAGCTGGGACAAGCAGCCGTCCCCCGGGTGCACCTCATCCACTGTGGTTGTGGCACGGGCCTGAAGTTCTCTGTCAGGGCATGCTTGTGGTGTGTGGGGGTCAGAGGAGGGGCCGGCTAGGGTAGAAAGGTGACTTTTGGGAGAAGCAGCAGCTGAGATGGGCCAGGCGGTGTGTGCCCCACCAGACAAGGCAGGGCATGGAGATGCAAGGCCCACATAGGAACTGGTGGGTCTGCCTTTGAGAAAGAGACTGTGCAGGTCTGTGGCCAGACCCTGGGGTATTTGCAGTGCTGAGGCATTTAGACGATTCTCTGGAGGTGGTAGGGAGCCATTGCAGGATTTTAAGGCAGTGTGTCTTACTTAGAACCATCAAGTTGGCAACAGTGTGGGGTTGCATGGGAAGGAGACCAGCTGGGCAGCTGTTAAGGGGTCCATAAGGAAAATGAGTGCAGTCCTGGCCCTGGTGTCTGGCTCGGCTACTGGGTACTGTGCATGAGATGAACAAAATGGGGCATGGGGGCAGAGTGTGTGCTGTGCATGGCCATGACCAGGAGGCAGTGGCTCTGTAGCAGGGATCTCCTGGGAGGCACGGACCTGGGAGTCCTCAGCTGGTAGGTGACATTCGCGTCCTAAATGTGGTATGAGAAGTGTATGCACAGAGTGGCCAGGGTCCTGACCTCTGAGGAGGGCAGAGTGGAAGAAGCCGCTGTGGGCCTTCTGTTCAGACACATCCCTGTGCAATGTGAAAGCCTTCAGTATGCTAAGTATGGCTTTTAAAAGGAACAGAGGAACATGCCAGAACAAGGATGGAACTTTGTTTAGTGTGTGAGCTTTCAGGTGCTGTGGGACTGGGCTGTCAGGTGGCTGTGTTGAGCTCAAGCCCTGCAGCCCCACTGCTGCGTCAGGCTTGTCTGGGACAGGGAACAAGGATGAGACTCTGCCCAGGACTCCGGATTCACTGCCTCTCAGGGAGAGAGACTCAGAGAGCCCACCCCCGGACCAGCAGAGCCAGGAGCACGGGAGACCTGAAATCTGAGCTCTGGCGTGGGTGTGATCCATGAGCTGGTCCCAGGCCTGTGACCCCGGCTGGCTCACCTCAAAACATAGGGTGCCTACAGGAAGCAGCTCAGAAAGAAGACCCCGAAATGCCCGGTGTGAGGAGACAGCACTGTGAGTAGGATTAGCACCCCCAAGACCTTGAGATAATTGTGCAATCCAAAGAACATTCCTAGAAATGGAGGCATTGTCTCCAACTTAAAAGTTAGTGGGTTATTAAGTAGCAGATTAGACATAGCTAAAGAATTAGTGAATGGGAAAATAGAGCTTGAGAAATTATCAAGAGCTCAGTAATATAAAAAGAAACAGAAAATGGAGCCAGGGCCTCAGAGGCAATGTGAAAGGCCTGTTGTGATGTATCTCATGAGAAGTGATGAAAGCATGAAAGCATGTTAAGTGTCATTATCCTCATGGTTTTAAAACTGTTCATCTTTGCTATTTTTTTCAGCCTTTCCCATGAAGATGATGAGTTTTGGGGGACCACCCAAACACTGAATGTTAAATTCCTGCCTTCAGATCCTAATCACTTTATTGTTGGCACAGACGTGGTGAGTGCCACGTCTTTTAAATATTTAGAATTTAAAAATTCTACTCCATAGATATTTTAAATTCTACTCTTTAACTCATTCTTTGAGTTGCCTGGCAAATATCTTCACTAAAGGTTAACCTACTCTTTACTTTTATTATAATCTTGTTTAAATTGCATCAGGAATAATAGCTTTATCCAGCCTCTCCCCTAACCTTTTCCTTAGTCACCTTTGCATCTCCCACCCCTAGGGCCTTGTAAGGCATGGCACCAGACAGGATCTGAGAGTGTCTCCCAGACTGTTCATGCCCCAGCAGCGCAGTGTGAGACCAGTGAAGGTGAATGCGATTGCCTTTTCGCCATTTGGAGAACCTGTATTTGGAGTATTCCTGGTAAGAAAGTCTGTTTTAAAGCACCAGCTCTATTGGGGCAGCACAACACCTGGCCATCTGTTGGGGTTTTAGAAGTCAGTCATCAGCAGTGCATGTGGGACACGCCTGCACACCTCGCTCCTCTGAGGTCCACCTGTGCAGTCAGTGCAGGTCCTTCACACAGCTATGGGATGGATCAGCTGTTAAAACATTTTATTTTGACATAATTTCAGGCTCATAGGAAAGCTACGGCAGTCCAGTTCTCTGCCTGCCCTCCATGCAGGCTCCCCACATGCCACATGTTTGCCACTTCATTCCATCCTGTTCCTCTGTGGGTGGGTTTACAGGTCCACCCTGAACAGATTGTTGTCGGTGTCCTCAGAGCAGGACCACCCTCTGCAGCTGTGGTCCTGTTCCCCACAGGTCTGTCGGGGTGACGTCCTTTCTGAGCAGAGCGCTGTCCCATCAGGAGCTCGTGCAGCTGCTGTGCCTCCTCAGTACCCTCTGGCCTGGGCATCTCCCCAGGCTCTCCTGCCTCGACACTGCTGACGGGCATAGGATGCACCTCTGAATGTACGTGCTAGTCCACACGGCTAGATCCGGGTCTGCGCCCTGGCCCATGCCCGCTGGCGCTGTGCTGTGGGTCCCACCCTTGCCTTTCTCATACGGGTCCCATGGGGACAGATGGGTGTGTCGGGAGTCCTGCTGCTCGTGGGGCCACTGGCGGCCTCGCCTGCCATTGGTGGTGGTGTCCAGCCCCCACTGAGGGTCTGTGTGGAGCCAGCTATTCCCTGGGCTCCTAGGCACACATGCCTGCCTTTATTATGTGAATGGGCATGTGGCCCTTGACTCTTAGGTGGGTCTCAATCACTTATTCTGCTACTCACACTGTCTGTCCGGGGCGTGTCCTCTGCTGTCACTCACAAGCCCTTCTTTGCCATCTGGTACAGTAGGCCCTGGAGTCCGCTGCTTCTCCAGGGAATCCCAGCTCCTAGAGGGAGAAAAATACCTGGAAACCAAGCTCTGGGCAGTAAAATGGTTGCTGTACAGGCACTTTGATCTCTGCCTGTCAGATGTCTCTGATTTAAGTGACTTGGGCCCCCTGCCTCCCCAGCTTGGAAACCTGCTCCAGGTGTCCTGGTGCACTTGACCTCACGTGCTCCATCCCAAGTACACAGATGACTCATGATTGTGCCTCATACCTCTGCAGCTTTTGAGTATGTGAAGGATTAAATATATTGAGGAAAAAGGCATCAGGTGTCTCTTTCTGAGCTAAAATGTTTTTCTTTGTGGAAATTTCAATCCAAGGAGACAGTATTAACCACATTACTGGTACCCGTGTATGTAATTTTTCTAAAAAGGTGGCTTGTTTACTTCCATGGAGCCCATCTTAATGGCATATGATCACATCAGCAATATTTAAGTTTGTTAAAAATAAATACTGTTTATTTTAAAGCACCAGCTCTATTGGGGCAGCACAGCACCTGGCCATCTGTTGGGGTTTTAGAAGTCAGTCATCAGCAGTGCGTGTGGGACACACCTGCACACCTTGCTCCTCTGAGGACCACCTGTGCGGTCAGTGCAGGTCCTTCACACAGCTATGGGATGGATCAGCTGTTAAAACATTTTATTTTGACATAATTTCAGGCTCATAGGAAAGCTACGGCAGTCCAGTTCTCTGCCTACCCTCCATGCAGGCTCCCCACATGCCACATGTTTGCCACCTGGTTCCATCCTGTCCCTCTGTGGGTGGGTTTACAGGTCCACCCTGAACAGATTGGTGTCGGTGTCCTCAGAGCAGGACCACCCTCTGCATCTGTGGTCCTGTCCCCCACAGGTCTGTCGGAGGTGACATCCTTTCTGAGCAGAGCTCTGTCCCATCAGGAGCTCATGCATCTGCTGTGCCTTCTCAGGACCCTCTGACCTGGGCATCTCCTCAGGCTCTCCCGCCTCGACACTGCTGACAGGCATAGGATGCACCTCTGAATGCACGTGCCGGTCCGCACAGCTAGATCCGGGTCTGTGCCCTGGCCCGTGCCTGCCGGCGCTGTGCTGTGGGTCCCACCCTTGCCTTTCTCATGCGGGTCCCATGGGGACAGATGGGCATGTCGGGAGTCCTGCTGCTTGTGGGGCCACTGGCAGCCTCGCCTGCCATTGGTGGTGGTGTCCAGCCCCCAGTGAGGCTCCATGTGGAGCCAGCTGTTCCCTGGACTCCTAGGCACACATGCCTGCCTTTATTATGTGAATGGGCATGTGGCCCTTGACCCTTAGGTGGGTCTCAATCACTTATTCTGCTACTCACATTGTCCGGGGCGTGTCCTCCGCTGTCACTCACAAGCCCTTCTTTGCCATCTGGTACAGTAGGCCCTGTAGTCAGCTGCTTCTCCAGGGAATCCTGGCTCCTAGAGGGAGAAAAATACCTGGAAACCAAGCTCTGGGCAGTAAAATGGTTGCTGTGCAGGCACTTTGATCTCTGCCTGTCAGATGTCTCTGATTCAGGTGACTTGGACCCCCTGCTTCCCCAGCTCAGAAACCCGCTCCAGGTGTCCTGGTGCACTTGACCTCACGTGCTCCATCCCGAGTACACAGACAACTCATGATTGTGCCTCATGCCTCTGCAGCTTTTGAGTATGTGAAGGATTAAATATATTGAGGAAAATGGCATCAGGTGTCTCTTTCTGAGCTAAAATGTTTTTCTTTGTGGAAATTTCAATCCAAGGAGACAGTATTAACCACATTACTGGTACCCGTGTATGTAATTTTTCTAAAAAGGTGGCTTGTTTACTTCCATGGAGCCCATCTTAATGGCATATGATCACATCAGCAATATTCAAGTTTGTTAAAAATAAATACTGTTTATGTATTTACTGAATTCATTAATTATCAGCCATTTGGGGAAGGGGAGGGGTTCAAGTGTACCCGAATCTCCAAGGGGAGCACCTTTGTGTGGTGAGGGCAGAGGTAAGGCTCTCAGGGATTTCCCTGGCTGCTGAGATGAGGATGAAAGGAAAACGAGCCGGGATCAGCAGTCCCCTCCCCACGCAGGCTGGCTGTTCTGATGGGAGCATCCGGCTGCACCAGCTGAC